CCTTCAGAATCTTCAGAATTGTGAGAGAACAAGTCTCAGTTTATCCAGAACGGTGCAGCTCTATTTTGCACTCTAAATCGTTGACCTCATGTTTGGAATCGATCAGAATCGTAATTGATCAAATTGAAAGCACACCCATCCCTCTAAGTGCCTGAAGTGGCTCTCTCAGCTGATTTTGAAGCAGGTGGACTCTGTGCTGTACGTGGACACGGATGTGCTGTTCCTGCGGCCGGTGGAGGACGTCTGGAGCTTTCTGTCCCGGTTTAACAGCAGCCAGGTGGCAGCGATGGCCCCGGAGCACGAGGAGCCGCACATCGGCTGGTACAATCGCTTCGCTCGACACCCGTACTACGGCAAGACCGGCGTCAACTCCGGAGTCATGCTCATGAACATGACACGCATCAGAGACAAACACTTCAAGGTACAGCACTCCCGGGACTCATGCATTTAGCAGCTGGTTAACTGACGAGACACACTCATGATTAAACAGAGGTGTTGGCCTTAAGATCCGAAAAAATCACAACAATGATTAAGAAATTTCTCTCATACATATATGTGCATTTTAGCCTAAATTAAATGATTTTACTTTTCATTTGTGAACCCGTTGAGGACAGATTGATATTTTGGCCCAGCTGATGGATATTTAGTCATTTTGAGATTAATTGTCTTTAATGGACACTGAGGAGTTAAAGCAGCAAAATAAAGAAAATATTGTAAAATATTGAAAACATGATGGCCGGTATATATTGCATTTCAATGCATACACTTTATCTTTTAACTTTAAATTGGGGGGGGGGGACTAATAAATAAATGCACTAAAGAGTTAACAGGATTGTTATTACTTGGATCTAATAAAATTATTAAATAAATTAAGACATTTCCCAAATATGTCAAAACAGCAGAATAATTTCAATACAGCCATAAAATGATGAAAAACCTAAAATATTAAAATATTATGACCAGTATCTATTGCATCTCAATGCATACACTTTATCTTTCAAAGGGGGGGAGACTAATAAATAAATGCACTAAAGAGTTAACAGTATTGTTATTACTTGGATCTAATAAAATTATTAAATAAATTAAGACATTTCCCAAATATGTCAAAACAGCAGAATAATTTCAATACAGCCATTAAATGATGAAAAACCTAAAATATTAAAATATTATGACCAGTATCTATTGCATCTCAATGCATACACTTTATCTTTCAAATACAAAAATATTATATATATATGTATATATATACACATACATTTTTTCAATCAATTTAAGGTTAAAAGATAAAGTGTATGCATTGAGATGCAATAGATACTGGTCATAATATTTTAATATCTTAGGTTTTTCATCATTTTATGGCTATATTTCTTTGACATCATTTGTAGAAGTATTAATATTTTTTTATAATTTTATTAGATGTAAGTAACAATAGTCCTGTTAACCCTTCAGTGCGTTAAAAAATATTTACAAATTTTTCTCAATCAATTTAATGCACTGAAGGGTTAACAGGACTATTGTTACTCTTTGATCTAATAAAATTATAAAGAAATATTAAAATATTATGGCCAGTATCTATTGCATCTCAATGCATACACTTTCTATTATATAAATATTAACCTTAAATTTAAAATTTATATTTATAATAAAAATGTTTTAATACACAAAAAAGTAAGAATATTATTAGATTGTATTTTTTAAATTAAAATAAAATTGTTAAAATTAAGACATTTATTATATGCAAATATGTACACTTTATCCTAAAATCTATTTTATTTTTTATTTGTGAACCTGTCACTTGTATTACGATTAAAGACAGACTGATATTTAGGCCCAGTAGATTATTTTGGTGGATATTTAGCCAATTTGAGATTAAGAGTATTGTTATTGGATCAAAAATATGAATGAAAGAAATTAAGAAATTAAGAAACACATTCTCTTATATAAATACACATTTTAACCCTTATATCTTGATGTTGATCAAAACAATGCATGTTTTTTTTTATTTTTCATTTGTAACGTCTCACCAGCAGATGTCTCTGTTGTTCTTCTGTTGCTCATTTTCTCATATTTCCACATTACTGAAGCGGTTTCATCATTCATTTATCTGTCATACATGAGACGGATTGAGAATAATTATGTAAAAACATGCACAGTGTGTGTGTGTGCGTCTGTGTGTGTGTGTGTGTGTGTCTGTGTGTGTGTGTGTGTGTCTGTGTGTGTGCGTCTGTGTGTGTCTGTGTGTGTGTGTGTGTGTGTGTGAACAGAACGACCTGACAGCAGTGGATCTGAAGTGGGCCGATCTTCTGATGCCTCTGTTACACAAATACAAGCTCAACATCACGTGGGGAGACCAGGACCTGCTCAACATCATCTTCCACCATAACCCAGGTACACCAGCTCATCATCATCATCATCATCATTATGTGTGCACAATATACAGAAGAAACCTCTAGAACTGTGCAAGCGCATTGATTCTCACTGGGTCTGATCTCAGAGTCTCTGCTGCTGATCGAGTGTCACTGGAACTATCGTCCTGATCACTGTATTTACGGCAGCAACTGCATCAGCGCTGAACAGAACGGTGTTTACATTCTCCACGGCAACCGCGGCGTTTACCATGACGACAAGCAGCCCGCCTTCAGAGCCGTGTATGACGCCATAAAGCAGGTGAGAACTAAAGCGATACATTAACATTCCGTTCAATTGAAACAAAATAGACTTTAACTGAGATAAAAATTAAACATTTAAAAACCTTAAACTTATTTTATTTTAACTGGTTGCCAAGGTAACATTTCTGATTTTAACTCAATGTACTAAAATACATAAAAACTAAAACTGAAAAAAGATTAATAACTATATAGACAAAAAAATTATAATTAAAAACAATGCACAACAAACTTTTAAAAATGTAACTGAAATAAAATATTTAAAAAAACTTTTTTTAATTTTTATTTCAGCTAGTTTCTATGGAAGCCCGTTTCCGCCACTAAATAAAAAAGAGGTAATTGCAACTTTTTATCTAACAATTCTGACTTTTTTTCACATAATTGCGTGATATAAACTCACAATTGCGAGTTAAAGTCCAATTTTGAGGGGGGAAAAAGACTATGTTCTCAGAATTGTGAGTTTATATCTCTCAATTATGACTTTTTAACTCGCAATTGTGACTTTATATCACGCAGTTCTGTTAAAAAAAGTCCGAATTGTGAGATAAAAAGTCGCAATTACTTCTTTTATTAGTGTCACTGGAACTATCGTCCTGATCACTGTATTTACGGCAGCAACTGCATCAGCGCTGAACAGAACGGTGTTTACATTCTCCACGGCAACCGCGGCGTTTACCATGACGACAAGCAGCCCGCCTTCAGAGCCGTGTATGACGCCATAAAGCAGGTGAGAACTAAAGCGATACATTAACATTCCGTTCAATTGAAACAAAATAGACTTTAACTGAGATAAAAATGAAACATTTAAAAACCTTAAACTTATTTTATTTTAACTGGTTGCCAAGGTAACATTTCTGATTTTAACTCAATGTACTAAAATACATAAAAACTAAAACTGAAAAAAGATTAATAACTATATAGACAAAAAAATTATAATTAAAAACAATGCACAACAAACTTTTAAAAATGTAACTGAAATAAAATATTTAAAAAAACTTTTTTTAATTTTTATTTCAGCTAGTTTCTATGGAAGCCCGTTTCCGCCACTAAATAAAAAAGAGGTAATTGCAACTTTTTATCTAACAATTCTGAATTTTTTTCACATAATTGCGTGATATAAACTCACAATTGCGAGTTAAAGTCCAATTTTGAGGGGGGAAAAAGACTATGTTCTCAGAATTGTGAGTTTATATCTCTCAATTATGACTTTTTAACTCGCATTTGTGACTTTATATCACGCAGTTCTGTTAAAAAAAGTCAGAATTGTGAGATAAAAAGTCGCAATTACTTCTTTTATTTTTTATTCAGTGGCAGAAACGGGCTTCCATAAGTTTCCAGGGCAATTAACAAAACAAAAAATAAAAGTTTAACTGAAATAAAGTATTAAAAAAAACATAAACCTATTTTATTTCAGCTAGTTTCCAAGACAATATTTCTCATTTTCAGTCAGTTTAACTTGATCTTTTTAATAAATAAAAAAAACTATATAAAACAAAAATGAGAAAACGCCACAAAATTACTAAACCATCATAAAATAAAATAGAAACAAAGTAAATGTATTTCATACATATGTAAAAATGACAAAAACACAACAAAATTACTAAAATTCTAAGTAAAATTAAAATGAAAACGTAATTAAAAAGAAATAGTAAATCGTGCACACGATTTAGCCTACTATTTATTTATTTTTCCTGCATACCATGTGCGTGGCTCCGTAAAGCAGTAATAAAAGCTGTAATAAAAAATAACACTGAATATGACCCACAGCAGGATTTCGTTATCAGTTATCAGACCTGTTTGTTTTTATATGATTGATTTTCTGGGTCATTCCTCAGTTGTTTTTGTGTTATTTTTAGCTGGTCTCTCTCGTGTGGAGCTGCGGTCGCTCTCCTGCCGCGAGTGTTTAATATGGTCATGGTGTGATTTCATTAGGAGCGTTTGCGTAACCCATAAAATCTAATTAGACGCTGTTAGTGTGTGTGTGTGTGTGTGCGCGTGTGGACACCTGTTCAGGTGTGTCTGCAGCCAGTCGCTGTAATGAGTTCAGATGTCTGTCTGGTTTCTCGCAAACTGCCAGTGATTCTTTCTGATCCAGCTGGCAGCTCTGGCGCATCAGTGTTTGTTTGCAGGGTGTGTTTTTCCAACATTGAGTCAGTTGATCTGATTTATGATTCAGCCTGAATTGAACTAATGAATCTGGATCTTAGAAATAGACTCAAAAGTCATTGCTTGAGATGAACTGAAAACATCTCTTTAAGCTATAAGGTTGATGAGATGTATTCATGTATGTTATACAAGCTGTACACTCACTACTTTACATTGTAGCAAAGTGTCATTTCTTCAGTGTTGTCACATGAAAAGATATAATAACATATTTACAAAAACGAGGGGTGTACTCACTTCTGTGAGATACTGTATAAGTTTTTTTTTTATAATAAATTGTATATGAATAAAAAATGGGGGAAAAACATAGATATGTTATGTATTTTCATTCTGCATCATTTGAGTGTGTGTGTGTGTGTGTGTGTGTGTGTGGTCATTACGGTCAGCTATTCTCTCGTCTCACAGGAAGTATGGTGCACCATTAGCTAAATGAGCTGCCATTAGCGCCGTCCCATGATTCAGCTGGATGCGTCCCATTGTTTCAGCACCCACTGAGTTCATGTCCAGATCAACAACCGAACACGCACAGAACGAGCTCCACGTCCATCAGTCTGACACATGTTCCGTTCACTTTAGAAGTGTCTCGTTTGCAGCATTCTCTTTGATTTTATCTCGGGTCCAACATGTCCGTTTTTTTCTCTTGATTTTGTTGCAACTAAAACATAAAGAAAATGGGTTTTTGGGATGATTAAGTGTGTTTGCTTCGTGACAGTATTTTTATGACATCATTTGACATAATTACTTGTTTTTTTTATCAAACAAAAAACCTATAATTGTGTTTAAATACCAGGTTTATTGTCATTAACTAAAACTAAAACCGTATCAAAACATTATCTGAAATATTAACATATAATAACGTGATAAATAACATAGAAAAACAATAGAGTAGTATAATAACATATATAGAACTTATTTTATTTCAACTAGTTGCCAAGGCATATTTTTTTATTTTATTGAATTTGAATTAAAGTAACTAAAACTAAAACTGAAATAACATTTAATAAGAGCTATACAGACATTGAATAATAACAACAACAACAATAATAATAATAATGACAAAAATCACACAACAAAAGTACTAAAATTTTAACTTCGTTAAAAAGAAAACAGAAAATATAAAAATGAAATCTAAAATGCACTACAAATTATAAAATATACAAATAAAAATTGAAAATGTCAATAAAAACTATAATAGTTTATCAATGCTATTAGAGTAACACTAAATTACATAAAATGTAAATGATTTATTAGAGTAAATTTTTTATTTTTTTTTTAAATTAGAATTTGTATAAAATCTGCAACAACAAAAAAAAAAGCACAAAAACATGTATGGTCCTAAAGTATGTTTAACATTCATTAAACAATAAAAAAAAAAAAATTATATATATATTTTAATTACATATATATATTTTTTTTTATGAAATCAGGTCAGACTCAGGACATGATGAATTTCTAAAGATGCAACTTCTCTTAGACATTCTTAATTCTGTATCATCATCATCCTCCTCATCCTCATTACTAGTCCTCAGGCCCAAACCCCCCCTTTGTTAATGTTGCAAAGTTCATCAATGGACCATATGCACGGAGCGTTCTTTAGAACTTCTGCATAAAGATAAGCAGCTCGTAAACTTCCGGTGAAGCTCATTTTATATGTGCTATGTATAGGTAGAGACTCTCACAGAAACCTCTCCTGCCTCATTCTTATCAGAAACTGACAAACAAAATAATCGCAACACCGTAAATAATGACAGCGGCGTTAACATACAGTTTCATGTTATTAAAGAACATATAATTTTATATGCAGAGCCTGGTAATCCCAGGAGAGTCCGCAGACACGTAACTGTACATATATATGCTGACAAATAAACACTGTCGTAACTGTTAGCGATGCTGTCTCTTAAACGGCATCACATTGATATTCTTCATAATCAGTAACTTGCCTTCATAGTCATGAACACATCTTTAAAATCTTATAACATTTTAGAGCCTTTATTATTTCTCAACTCTACAGCTGTGCTGTAAAATTCACTTTAAAGGTGCACTTTTCATTCATGAAGACGGCATGAAGAAATGTGCCGAAAATGTGTCTCGGCGGAAAACGGTTAATAATAACAATGAAATGTAATTTTCTACCGATTAGATTGTGTTTTATTAAGGTCTGCACCTACCCCAACCCTAAACCTACCCTTTACAATAATGCAAAAATAGTAGTTATTGTTGTACAGTGTGACAAAAATTACGCTGTATTGATGTGCGCATGCCCAGTAGCTGATGTGTATCCCTTCTAGCCTTAACCGCGGAAAACTAGCCGGAAAACAAAGACTTTTAAGATGAAAATGACACGAAATTACTATTATAACCAGCAGATGGCAGCAGAGGATCACTCATTGGCTGCAGCTGCTATTTCATCTCTAGTTTTTCACGTCTTGCTTTTGGATTTATTATATAAAAAAAAATGACTACATCTTTTAATGGTGTATGTAGAAGCTGCTAAATAAATTCAGCCGACGCAGACTTGTTGCTGCTGTAGTTTTGTTACTCTGAATTTACTCTGAATCACTTAATGCACAGCTCTGTTTTTCAGTGCTTCATCACGTTCAGTGAGTATTATTGTTGATGCATTGGTCTTGGATTAGACTGACTCTGATCTGTTTGTCCGCTCATATGCAGCACCTCTGACGCTCTTCTGTCTGGTTTTCAGTTTCCGCTGGATGAAGATCCGGTGCGTGGATTGCTTCTACCGCTGGAGGAGAAGCTGAAGAGCGATCACACGTACTGCGGCCGATCTCGACTCGTCTTCACCAAACGACTGCGCCAGAGCGTCACAGAGCTTCAGAAAGATCACGACCGCTCCAGACGAGCAGAGGTTTGAGTTACGAGCCACCGCTTCAGATCAGATCAGAAACCATCAGCGGCTGACAATCAGACACACGCGTCCCTAAAACACTGACAGACTCCAGAGCTTCTGCTCATCAGGGACCTGCGCTTGACTTCACAGACGTGACACACAGTGAGTGCCCTTCATCAGGTATGAAAGGTTTACGTTAGTTAACAATTACAGACCTTCAAAGGAAAAGTTGACCTAATTTCCTCACCCTCAGGCCATCCATAGATTAGGATGAGTTTGTTTCTTCATCAGGTTTGTAGAAATGTAGCACTGCATCAGTGTCTCAGCAATGGATGCTCTGCAGTGAATGGGTGCCGTCAGAATGAGAGACCAAACAGCTGATAAAAACATCACAATAATCCACAAGTAATCCACAGCACTCCAGTCCATCAGTTAACATCTGGAGAAGACAAAAGCTGAAACAAATCCAGCATTAAGACGCTTTTAACTAAAATACATAGAGT